CTCACAAAATAAAGAGTCTTACAGGAGTAAGACGAACTTTTTCGGTGGTAGTTGCGTATTTTATTAAGAAAGTTCAAAATAATATTTGTTCGATTTTTCAAGTCTTTCAAGCGGCGTAAAGTTTGAGACCAAAAAATATGTTTCAACTTTGGCAACGAAATATTCTTCAATTTAATAGCAGAAGTACCCGAGAAAAGAGTTTTCACACTTTCATGATGAACCCATTTGTACGACATTTGAAAGTATTCTATTTTCTAACAAAACACTATAAAAATATGTCTGACGTTAATTTTGCCATAAAAATTATTTTTGAAACACTTTTCATAACTAAAGTCACAAAAAATTAGGATTTTTGTATAGGAGCCATGCAGTGTGTCCATAATATATAGAAATAGCACTAAATAGTGTCGATATCTATACTATATCGATCCACTATATATGGAAGATATTGCCGCACGGCACCGTATCGCACGATCGAAGTGAGTGTAGACGGGAAAAATCACAAGTTGCCGTGCGGCAGTAGAAAGAACTGTGTGTATGCGTCAACATTTTTGCCGTCCGCACTCACTTCGATTGTGAGTAACGGTGTCTTGCGGAAATATCGTCCATATATAGTGCACCGATATAGTATAGATATCGACACTATTTAGTGCTATTTCTATATGTTATGGACACACTAGAGCCATGTCTGTATGCTACCTTAATGGCGTGAAACTTTGCACAGGTTATTTTTTCACAAAAAATAACATTCGGAGGGTTTGGAGAAATTTCAACCAAAATTAAGGGTACCTCCCATACAAAATATTCGATTAAGGGTACCTCCCATGAAAATGTTGTATGGGAGGTACCCCTACTTTTGATTGAAATCTCTTCAAACTTTCAGAATGTCATTTTTTTGTGATTTTTTCAAGGAAACTGTATCAAAAATTGATTGTATCTCAAATATATTATTGTATCTCAAATATATAGATTGGGTATATATCAGATATATGGATTGGGATATAATCGGCGAATTTTGTGCACTTGACTCAGTCTGATTTTGAACAAGTTCAAGTTTACATCAAAACTAGTAGTACACAGAAAAGTTGAAACTGACAAGTGAATAAACACGCAATAAACAACAATATTTTGGTGTTTTAATTACATTTTTGCACTTTTCCAGAAATTTTCAAAACTTTTTAGTGGCTGCTCACTTTACACGGTAAATTTTTTTTTTGCCAAAAATCATGTCTCTAGAAAATCGTTAAAAAAAATTTGTTTGAAGCTATATCAAACTACTTTCTTCGGCAAAGTTGTTGCCCAAAACAATACCTTTCCAACGGTATATCATATTCTTCGATATTTTTATATTTGAAATTTTTCTGGCCAAAAAACAAAACTATGCCCACTTTACACGGTCTTCCCTTATTATTTATAAACAATTTCTTTTTTTTAAAGGGCTTTCTTGCAAAAAAAACTACGTTTCTTTAAACTTTTTTGATAAGTTTTATTCACGTGTGTGAAAATGTTGCAAAATTCGTTCCCTGATTTGAATGTAAAATCCGATATCAATCCGTTCATTTTTACTGAAGTAAAAACACCAATAGGCAAAACACCATTTCGAGACCGTGTAAAAACTTACCTCTTAGCGGACACAAAACCTTGGGCAAATTTGTATCTGCCACATCCAAAAGGCTACAAATTTGAGCCATGTTTTTTGCGGACCCAATTCAAAGAACTGGCCTATGAATTTCGATCATTTAAAGTGCGAAAAGATGACATCTGGATTTTGTCATTTCCAAAGTCAGGCACAACTTGGACCGAAAATATTATTTGGCAATTGAAGAATGGATTCAATTTTTCGAAGGAGCCGCTTGCTTTGAATACTGGCTTTCTTCTCGAACCTGACTTGGTGACCGCTGATATTGATGCGGTTCAAAAGACCGAATTTGAGAAATTAAACAACGCAATATCACCGCGAGTGATAAAATCACATTTGCCACCACATTTATTACCGGTGGAATTATGGACAGTTCGACCGAAAATTGTTTACATCGCACGCAATCCAAAGGATGTTGCTATTTCGTTGTTTCACATGTTGAACTAGGAAGCAAAAACGTTTTCAGGAACTATTGAAGAATTTTTTGACATATTTTTAGAGAATAGGATTTATCCGGCACCATTTTTTGCTCACATTCTAGCATATTGGCAACTTCGTCATTTGGACAATTTTCTATTTTTAAATTATGAGGAACAAGTGAATGATCGATTTGATGGTATTCGGAAAATCGCTGAATTTCTGGAATGCGAGTACGGAGAAGATGAATGAAACAACTCACGAATTTTTATTTATTTTATTTTATTTATTCACCGTCTGATCACAGACTGAATTTATCTCAAAATTTGTACAATATCGTTTACAATGAAACACTACCCGATCGATACCCAGCTACCAGCCTTTTCGACTTCGGAGTAGCAGATATCGATTGTGTTCACTGTTAATTACTGTTTATTACTACATAAAAGTTAAATTTTTCACCTATCAATAAAAATCACATTTTCCAATTTGACAATACTATTTCTAAAAATTTGTCTTGATGCTGATGCCAAAAATTGTTCTCTTACTAAGTTAAAATTTCTACAAGCCACGTAAAATGGTTGATTATGTGCATAGTCTGAAGGAAACGCTCTAACCCTAACCAGTTCTGTATTTCTTAAATTTCTCTGGTTTTCGTTATATTGCAGTCTTGTATATACAATTTTATTTCTTAGTGAACTAGACACTATTTTACCCAAAAGGAGGTCATAAATTAAAAATATAGAGGCATTTATACGCCGTCTCCAAAGCGGTTGAATATTTAAAACATCACATCTAAATTGATACGGTGGTAGCACAAAATTCTCGTCTCTTTGGTAAATAAATCTCAATGTCCATATCACAAAATCTTTCTGAATTGATTCTATTCTATTGGAATGGATACGGTGATATGGTTGCCATACAATACTCGCGTACTCTAACTTTGATCTTACTAGTGCACAGTATAACATTTTTGCAGATTCAATCGTAAACTTATTCTTTAATGTGCGTTTAATAAAACCCATTGCCCCATGTGCACTGGCTGTAATCGCGTCGATGTGATTGACAAATGTCAGCTTCGTGTCAAATACAACTCCCAGATCCTTGTGTATGTTGATCCGTTCAAATGTATGTTGGCCGTTGTCGATCGCATGATCATAGTTGACTATGTTTCCGCTTTTTGAGTATGTCATAACGAAGCATTTCTTCAAGTTCAAATGCAGGCTATTTTCAGTACACCATTCGCTCAATTGATTAATGGCATTTTGAAATAATAAGGCATCTATAGGCGATTGTATGGTTCGGATCAATTTCAGATCATCTGCGAATAATAAAACAAGTGCATTTGATACTATTTCGACAATGTCATTAATAAAAACAATAAAAAGACAAGGTCCCAAAATACTTCCCGCTGGTACACCAGATGACACAGTGAAGGTCCGTGACCTTCTTTCACCGATTCCAACAAACTGCGTTCGTTCTGTCAAATAACCATGTATCCATTTGACAAGCTGTCGTCCGAATCCGAATCCTACCAGCTTCTGCAACAATTTCTTGTGGTTCACACGATCGAAGGCTTTCTCAAAATCGGTGTACAGCACATCTGTTTGACATTTTTTGACCATTGAGTCCATCGTGAAATTTACCATTTGGAGTAAATTTGTTGAGGTTGATCGATTTTTCACGAATCCATGCTGATTATGGATAATTTTGGAGTTTACAAATGTGTCGATTTTGTCATACACAACAATTTCAAAAAGTTTGGCTATTGTTGGTATGATCACTACTGGTCTGTAGTTCGCTGCATTGCTCTTTTTACCAGCCTTGTAAATTGGCACAATTCTGGAATTTTTCAATGCTGCCGGAACACATCCTTGATGCATCGATTTACAGAATAGCGCTGTTAATGGTTTCGACAATGAGTGTGCGCAATTCTTTAACACTTTCGGCGATATTCCATCAGGACCGGCTCCTTTGTTCTCGTTGATGGATTGCAATGCATTCAACACATCGGCTTCAGTGATGTCAATGTCAAATGATACGTCTCCGCATTCATCCAGCAATTGATTCAAGTCGATAATGTCGCTTCGTGTGTACTGATTTTCGAAAAAATCAGCGAATAATTCTGCTTTCGATGTGTCTGTGTCTGCAGTCTCATTGTTGTATTCAACAGTGGCCGGAATATCACTTCTCTTTCTTCTGTCGTTTACAAATCGCCAAAAATGTTTCGGATTTAATCTGATTTGCGATTGTATGCGGCTAATGTACGACTGGAATAGTTGACTTTGCAACTGCAAAAACGAATCCGTGATGGTATTGTATTCGTCAAAATTGCCAATCTCTCTTGCTCGTTTGTATGTTTTCCTCCTAACATTTTTCATGTGCTTCAGATGTTTCGTGTACCATGGTGGATCTGTGCTTTTTTGTACGGTGATTTTTGGAATAAATTGGCCTATTGCCTCGTGTAGAACATTGCCAAATAATTGGAATGCATTCTCGAGGTCATC